TCCCCTAGACTAGGGGGTTCTTTTTAATTACGGCGGAGACGACGAAAGTTGGCTTCACGCACAAAGGCCTCTGCCCGCATATAGTCGAACATGGCGACGTTGCCATTAGTAACTCAATAATTCAGCTCCATATCTAAGAGAGAAAAAAAAGAACTTTTTTTTCTCTCTTAACTAAACTTTCACCCTAAAATTGTTTGATTTCTTTGTTCGTTCTTTTAATATACTGCTTCTTTATTGTATTCGTTTATGTTGTTTAATAAGATCAAAATTTGCTACCCATGGCACCGCGAATTACTGTACTGTACTTCGAGTAAAGTCGGTTCCACATCATGTGTCAAACACCTTCCAACGTTGGACGCATTATTCGCCAAATTGTGTATACTCTGTTTTTTTTCTCAGGTAAGATTTCGACAGACAATGACAGAAGAAAAGCAGATGACGTCCAATACCAATCTATTTATTTTACTAAAAAAAGTTTCTAATAATTTTTAAGTTAACTATGGATGGGTTTAAATATAAATCCGTCATACGTCGTCTCTTGTATGTTTATTTCAAAAATGACAGATCGTATTTCAATTTTATTGGTTTGACGGAATGATGAACGGCAAACGGACGCCGAAGCATATAAACTCGCCTTTAGATTTTTGACGCTTGTCAAAGTCTTGCCAAATTATAGGTTATAATTTTGTGTCAACTTTTGTCAAATACCCTACGTTTTGGAAGACAATACACATTTATACAGTTTGATTCGTGTTATTACGTATGTTTTGTGTCTTTTGAAGTCAAGTGGAGGAAAAATCAAGTGAAAATTAACTGTAGACCCAGAGCACAGTTTATGGTTAATACTCGCTCCCAGGCAGAAAGTCTTATACACCAATAAAGAAAGTTAAAGTTCGTATACCATCTCGTCGTAGATAAGTGCATCTCGAATATAATAGAAGGACCATACTAAACACATACTAAAAACTGGAGTAGCTGTAAAATATCGACATCACACGATAGGTAAATAATGGATTTTAGTACTGCAGAAAAATAATGTCAAAAGGTACTGGTTTAAAAAAATTAAGATTAAAGTTAATTAATAAGTATAAAATTTGGTTTGGTGCTACTATTAATAAAATAGTTTGTTTTATTTATGTTGTTTTATTTATTCCTGTGGAATATTACAAATTTGTATTTGTACATAAGTTATATTGATAAATATAATCATAAATGCGGGTTTCAAGTTTCATAAAGCTTAAAAGTAAGAAATAGTTCTTTTTTATATTTTTGGGTATGTGATGTCTTGTTCTTGTTTGTTTTGTATTAACACATACCGTTTTTTATTAAATAAAATAACTCGATTACATTTTTTCAGTTTTATACAGTTTTTTTCACAATATTTTGAATTAATCAGTTGTCAGTCAAATTTTAAATATATTAATTTCCTGTTATACGTTCCAGTTGTACCAACTTATTTCTTTGTAAAATAAAATAAACTACTTTGAAATTAAAATGACAGACACATCTATCACTGTCAAGGATCTTCTCGTTGGACAGACTATAGCAGACACCAAGAGCAGACACTCTTGTCAATTGTAATATTGTCGAAGCCTATGCCAAACGATGCGTCCAACGTTGGAACCAAGTAAGCCTGGAAATTACAATTTATGCCGTTCATGACATCAATTTTACTCCAAATACCAAGTGTGTGATACCAAATTATTCGTAAAAAAATGCTTTTCCCAAATATGCTAACGAGTCACTCTCGTTCGATTTGAAAAAAAAATAGATATGATTAAAAATATGATTTGGGCATCTTTTACAGTACATCTGTTCGTTCTGTAGCTACGGGGTATCCGTGAGAGGGGAAACGATATTCTTTCGATGTTTTTCGTAAAAAATTAGACGACGCGTCCATCAATAAAAATTCGACAAATTTGCAAGTGGCCAATAAAATGAGTGGGCGGAGCGATTTGCAGTGACGTACTCGTCAAGTGGAAGTATAAAATATATTGATGTTTATATAAATGCTTTTTTGTCCGCATTCCTTTCATAGACACAGATCCAGCAGACGTACTGTAACTGGCCAGGACAAGACACTAAAAACATTAGATGATCAAATCCATTTTTCCTAGGCTCCTTGATTAAAAATTAGTGTTTTTAACACCCAATGGCACTCTAGATTGAAACTGAAAATACCATTTTTTTTAAGCGAAAATGTCAAAAGTCGACATATGATCTGTCATTCTATTTAGAGTGTCATTTTCTATCGAATAAAGTAAAAAAATACCAAGGGTGAAGGGTGTCATTTAACAATCAGAAGTTGTAGTCATTTCCGGTGAAACAGGAAGTGACCGAAAATAATTGAATACGTCAATCAATCCTAATTTATGTCGTATACTAACATATTGAATCTCGTTTTTTTTTTATCTGACAAAATAAAAAATTTATAAGGGTGAGCCACTTTTGAGACGCAACCGGTATAAAAAATATGTATATATGTTTTTTTTATTATCAACATATCGACCGAGTGTTTTGACGGAAATTTACGCACTTGGGTGATAATAATTTATCGGAATTTCCATTGATTCGATTTTGAAATATGTGGAAGTCTCGATCTTCGGTTCATTCATCGCGTTCGCCTTGTCGCTTTTGCGTTTCGTAACAAAGGAATTAGAGAGATTGCGCAGCCTTGTAAGTATCAAGCGAGACCCTAGATTATAACAGTGTCCGCAAGAAGTCTGCATCTATAATGGGATTTTTTTATTATGAAAGGCACGTAAAATTAGGTATTGTGTCTGTCATTTTCATTCCAAAATAGTTTATTTTAGTTGTACAAAAAAATAAGTTGGTACAATTGGAACGCATAGCAGGATTTAAAATTTGAGTGACCAGTGATTACTTAAAAATATCGTGAAAAAAAAACTGTGAATAATGAAAAAATCAAAACAAACAAGGTAGTATTTTAAACAAAACACCACATACAAAAAAAAGAACTATTTCTTACTTTGAAGCTTCAAGAAACTTCCTGCATTTATCAATATAACTTATGTACAATTAAAAAAATAATATTGCATAGGAATAAATAAAACACAACATAAATAAAACAAAATATTTTATTAATATTAACACTTCTACTAAACCGAATTTTATACCACAAACTTTATTGGTGGTAACTTTATTGGTGTATAAAACTCTATCTGGGCACCAAATATTAACTATAAACTGTGCTCTAGCTCTATAATTAGTTTTCCCCCGATTTTTTTTTCTTCCACTTAACTTCAAAAGACACAAAACACACGTAATAACACGAATCAAAATGCATTATATTACAAAACGCGGGTTATTTGACAGAATTTGACACAAATTATAACCTAAAATTGGGCAAGTCTTTGGAAAGCTTCAAAAATCTTAAGCGGAATTCATACGCTTCTGCGTTCTAGATTCGTTCATCGTCCCGTCACTCCAGTAATATTTATATGATCTGTCATTTTTGAAATAAACCAATAAAACTGATTAAAAACAAGAGACGACGCCGACGCATGACGAATTTATATCACCCGTCCATAGCTAGGTAACTTAAAAAATATTAGAAACTTTTTTTAGTGAAATAAATGCATTGGTATGGACGTCATCTGCTTTTTTTCTGTCATCGTCTGTCGAAATCTTACCTGAAAAAAGAAACAGAGTATCCTGTTAAGTTAACAGAATAATAAAAATAAAATTATTGGGAATATTCTAGAATTCTAGAATAAATTGAAGACGTTGGCGTTGGTTGTTCTTTAACTAGCGTAATCTCCCTATTTTTTACAAAGCGGGGTCGTTTTAACCTGGCTTTAGGCACGTTCATGGGGCCTAATCCGGTTCTGCCTTCGTTCCACAGTGCACCATTAACGACCCGAGAATGGAATGTCTTTCTGTCAGTCCTATAGTACCGGCATTGTTGCCATTTTCCATGAATTACTTTAAAAATGATTAGAGCTATTAAGGCAGGTCGAAAAAAATCGCAACGCTCCTGATTACTCTAAAACTTTTATTCAGTGTTATGTTTTTGTTCAAAAAACAAAAACAGCTCGTGGTTTTGAGTCGTTACGTCACTTTTTTTCTGCGCGTATTCATTCGAAATAAATGTGCCTTTTCTCTGATTCTATCGCAACCTTCAAAATTAATTTTCCCTCTGAATAAATAGATTAAAAAAATATCGATATATTTTACCATCCTTACTTTTAAATTACTTACATGGAGGGTAGAGGTAAGGAGAAATATCTTCGTGTACTGAAAAGTGGTTATCAAAGAGGGAAGACTTAAGATGGCGCTGCTGTAGCAAAAGTTCTACATTTAAAAGAAGCGCCAAAAAAATTTAGAACAGGAAATAATTAAAAAAGATAGATAAATACCCGATTTCCGAAGGCGCGTGTTGCCTCTCTTTTTGACTAACTTCACTTTATTTATAACCGCTAAGTTCAGTTCGCTGAATTATTGCTTGTTAGCGTCACTGTGGTCATTTAGTGAACCCCAGAGGTGAACCCTTATTCTTCCCATTTTGGCAAAGCATTTTGGTGACAACTATGTGACAACTTTTTCAAATAAAGTCTCATAAGAGATATTTCTCCTTTCTCCTTACCTCTACGTTCCATAATTTAAGTAGGTATCTGTGGTAGGTATGATCACAAACTAAATTAGATTTATTCTTTGCAGCAGTACAAGCGGCACAAGTATTATACAATGAAGACAACTATAACTAACAATAATTAACTATTTTTTTATATAAAACATAGAAAAATCAATATTAACGATCGTAACCTTGACATTTAGTCTAGAACCGCCCTTAGCTCTTCGCGAATGTCAAAGTTTACGTCAAATATCTGTCATTACTCATTTTCCGGGAAAAACAGCTGATAGTTTCCGTTGCTTCTGTGAGTTCCTCGTCCTCTGCGCAGACCCTGATCAACACAAGGGAAAATAGGGCCGTAAAACCGGCACCGGAGCGGTGGGGCACCCTAGGATCGGTCCCTGACTCGTTCTTATTTTATTTAACATCTGCTCGTGGCCAGACGAAGGCGGGAGGTAAGGCTTGGCGCGCCACACAGTCGTGAGAGCATGCCGATCAGCGTACAACGTCCTCGACGACGCGAGTGAGACAAAGATAGATAGATGAACGAAACCGACCGTTCTTTTGTGTTCAGTGTTTGATTTCATGTGAATTTTGTGTGTGTTATTGTTGACCGTTGCCAGTTTAGTGTTTTTCACGGAGTTTTCCTAGTCGGCCTAACGTAAGTACGATAGAAAGAAAAAAATAAACAAAGGGAATGAAACAAAAAAACGCTTTGGAAGTGTGGTCGGTCTTGGCGAAGGCGCGCTCGTGGGTTTTCTTTGTCTGAGAGCTCTGTGTTTTTTCTCTGGTCACTGTTAACAATTTGTAGTCATTTTTATAGTTTTCTTTTAAGTTTTAACCGTTTTTTATCGAAAATATTTTTTAGTATTGGGGATTATTTAAAAAAAAATTAACCGTCTCGTTCTGTTTAAAAGATATCTGTCTCTCTCAATATCCGTTCTTGCTACTCTAGCAACACGAACGTAGTTTTTATCGGTTGTTCCGACTTTTTTTTGAGGAAAAATTAATGTTGTATTGAGTTTATGCGTGGGACTCTATAGGTATTTGTCATTTTTGTAGGTATTTTGTTTAATCAAAGTTAAAACAAAGAATTTTTTTTGATTTCATCAACTGTTTCTATTATTGTTTTCAATGGAAAATAAGTGTTTTGATTATTATTGTGTTGAATTAATTATATTAAATTTTAACAGATTTTAAATTTTGAGGATAAGTATATTACGACTATAGATAGATAAATGACTTACAATTATTTTCGCCAATCTATACTTACAATCTACAGGGTATTTCAAAAAACATGTGCCATCTCTCGTGGGGAGATCCCTCACGTAAAAATAAGATTTATTTTTCATATCAACATAGGTCCGATTCTGCTTTGTTTCGTAGCTACAGGGTGTTAAAATCTTAATAAAATTGCTACAAATTTTAATCGGCATTAAACTGCTTACACTAATCAATTGGTAACAACCAATGACTAAAGAATATAAGGACATGTAACGCCCCTATACGGGCTGCAGCAGAATTTGTGACCTTTTTTTTTGTTTTTGGTGGCAAACAATGAGTCATCATTTGGTCACCAGCGACAATTTTAGCGATTTTTAATAGTTTGTGTGTAGTAAACTTTGTATAAACTTTATTACAATGGTGATTAGTTGTTCAGCTTTCAAGTGTAAAAGCAGCAGCGATAAGAAAGAGCCAGGAGTTACGTTTCATAGGTAAATAAACAGTCCACTCCAACTTTTTAGCGTTTTCTTATTGAATTCGATAATTATTCTTCAATTTCAATTAACATCTATATGTACTTGATATGTGCTATACGTCGATACTAGTTTTGTACCTTTTGTTAACATTTTAATACGTTTTTTTCGTAATTAATTAGGATGATACACCATAGGCGTAGTCAAAACAATTTTCAAAAAATATAAATATTGCTTCAAACAGCTAGGTTAAGAAAAATATGTGCCACGGCACTGTTTGGTGACATCGTCACAATTAGCTCTCGGGTGTTATTTGTCAGTCAGAAAAAGTCAGTGGCCTACATGCTTTTTTTAAGAAAAATATTCTAGTGATAGTCCATGTGCACGTCCCTGATGAATATGTCCACACTTTTTAGCTTTAAAATATGTCGTATTTATAGTAAATTTCATTTGAAACACTACAAGTACTTGGAAGAAAATTATAATAAATCAAAAAAATATTAAGACTTAACACCCTGTAGCCACGATACAAAGCAAAATCGGACCTATATTGACATGAAAAATAAATCTTATTTTTACGTGAGGAATCTCCCCATGAGAGATGGCACATGTTTTTTGAAACACCCTGTATAAAAATTACTGACTGCCACTACGTTGCGATAATGTTAAAGATTTTTACTTTTTTCCTAAAATATAATATAGTTTATGTCATCGACAAAATACATAATATTATTTTTACTATCATTTTGTGGAAGTCCCTCAGGAAGTTCTGTTCTGAAGCCTCTGTTGAAGTACTGTAATTTATACAGGCAGCTCAAATTGTAATTTAAATTTGATCCTGCGATTAGGTACTTCGACACTACTCATTGCATCTTCACTATAGTTACTATAATATGCTTTGATGAGGTACTATTTTTCTTTGTGTGCATGAAACAATTTTTTGGAAGGAAAAAAGAATAATTTCCGATAATAGAAAGATGTATGCATATGAGATATTAGCATAACAATATTACAATTCATTGTAAAATGCTTTAATTGGTATTATATTATTTAACCTTTTTTATTTAAGTAAATTGATATTGATTGACAATAGTGCAGCATTAATGTATATTAATATAACAGAGCTTATAGGTCTTCTAAACTATAATAATAATTCTGGCTTAAAAGAAAATATCTAAAAAATATATTTATTGTAAAATCACGTTTTTTAATCGACTAAACTTAATACGTACTCACCGAACAAAAAACAATAATCCTCTTATTTTTATGAAAACTCTGGTAGTTTTTCTTTTCGAACGCATCACATTGTATTCATATTGGACGTAGGTGTGGGAGAAGCTTTAATAAAAGCTATGCGTTAGGGATGGGCAAAACTTCTATAAATCGATATAATGATACGACGATTATACGAGATCGATATAATGATTATAATAATTTGTAACTTATGAATGGGATCATATACAGTACATACCAAATAACTTTTAGTCAAGTGATTAAGCTTGACTTGCGTAGGCGCAGCGTTGCCTACTTTTACATATTTTCTTTTAATTATAAAATATTTTAGGAATGTTGTTACTGTAAATGTCCGAAATGCGGTAAAACCTAGGATAAGCGCGCTAAACCTAGGATTTACCAAAAGCATTAACTAATTAGGTTAGCCTGGTTATTTGGAGGGTGTTAATGCATTGGTTAGCCTGTTTATTTGGGGGGTGTTAATGCATTGGTTAGGTGGTTATTTGGTGGGGTTGGTTGGTTTTTACTACCACTTGCTTATTCGTACTTTTACTAATGCGGTGTGGTAAATCCTAAGATTTACTGTGTAGATCCGGTAAAAGTCCGAAATGGAAGCAAAATAAATAGTTTTCGAGCTTTTGGTAAATCCTAGGTTTAGTGCGCTTATCCTAGGTTTTACTGCATTTCGGACATTTACAGTAACATATAATATAAGCTATAGAAATTAAACTTTTAGTTACGTAATCGAGGGTGCGATTTTTAAATTTATTGTTGCCAACCATGGACATATTCGGCGCCGAGCTGACTAACTGGAACTTAAATTTGTCGCTGAGGATTTAGGTGGTAGCTCTGCTGTAAAAAATGTCAAGTTGCCACATTTATTTACTTCCTGACAATGCCATTCGTTTTGACAGTTTAGTTTTGTATTACGAGTTTTTGGCTGAAATGACTGGTTATGAATACCTAGGCTGTGATAAAATTAGAGAAGATTTTGACGATTTGTCATTCACAAGCTTAATCTGAGATAGAAAAAAGTCGTTGAAACGGCCGTTTTTACGACTATCCGGTGTCCTTGAACTTGTTCAACCGCCGAATTACATAATTACGAGCGCGGTACTTACGTGGGTACGACGCGGTACCGCCTGGCTAGATAGACCGGCCGGTAAGCGAGGTAACTAGCCATTTTCAAGGTCACCGGTAAAAAGGAAAAGCAAAGAGACCGTGGCACGTTGTTCGAATCTCGCCGTGAGCCGAGCCTGTTTTACCTCGTCTCGCCTTCCTCCTCTAGGTAGCTCTTGCCGTGTTGCCTTTGCGGGGCATTGTTCTTTTTCGATGGAAGAACCGAGAAAATGGCCTGGAAGTAGGGATGTGCTAGTTGAATCGATATTTTTGGAAGTATTACGAAAAAATCGACTTTTTTAAGAAAATAGGCGCCAAGATCAGGAATCAAAGATTTAAATCGTAATTTAAATCAACGAATGTTTTTATTTTAATCGTGGATTTAAATAAAAAAAATTCACTTGTTTAAAGCTATAAAAAAATATTCCTTTAACAAATATACTCTATATCTTAAGTTTCATTCCGAACCTCGCAATTAGTTTAATAAATTAGTGGTTCCAATTCTTAGACAAGGAAAGAGAGGGGACGGGTAACACCCATATTATCCAGTGATCTGTTTTTGAGGTCGAAATATGATCGACGGCCATACTTTGGTGACAAGATTTCGAGGTGACACTGAGCGAATTTTTATGTTTTTTGTGACCACTGTTTTGTTTTAAATTTATAAACTGTGTTGTTTAGTATGGTGAAATGTTCAGCGTATGACTGCAAAAGCCGAAGGGAGAAAAAAGTGGCTGGAATTACATTTCACAGGTAAAAATCGATACACAACTTTTGTTATGTAGTCATAAAACATACATACGTACATCTTTGTCATTATAGGAGTAAAAATATGTAAAATGCTTTTAATATGTCTTGTATCACATCCAAAGCAAACTATTTTTATTAATTCTAATTAGTATTTTCATTATCCTATATTAAAATTAATGTTTGAAACTATAAATAACGCTACTCAGACTGGATTTCTCCAGTGGCGTAGGAAAATATAATCAGAGAAATACAATTTCTGCAATAAACATATTTTTATATATTTTATATGTAAAAAAATGTACCTATAAAGTATTGTTATCAAATATCTAAAATAATTATTGTAAACTATAAAAAAACATGAAAAATTCTGGTCATAAAAATCTATATACTATGTATACTTAGTTCTTATATAAAACTTAAATTTACCTGCCAAGATTTGCTGGGGGTGGATAAACTTGTGATGGGCTACTTTCCTATATTTTTTAATAATATCCTTTCAAAAAATTTGCTAATTTAGGTGATTAAAATAAAAAAATACTGTCTATTAAAAATCAAAACGATCGATGACATTCCCCATATAATTTTACATATAAAATTACAACTCTTCATTTCATTGCAATTGTTGCCACCGTTTTTTTCGATCTATTTACTTTAATACTTCTATATTTATATATTTTTTTATTCCTTCAACAATGTGGTTAATACCAAAGTAAAAGAACAAAACCTACAATTTCAACTATATTGTTACAGCCATTTTTTTTTAAATTTACTATGCTAATAAACAGAAATTAACTGATCTGGGTAAGGAAAATATTCCTATTTATGAGTTAATACTGTCTTTGATACTTTCATAAAATTATCT